TACAGACAGAGAAAGAGAGGAGAGAGAGAGAGAGAGAGAGAGAGAGAGAGAGAGAGAGAGAGAGAGAGAGAGAGAGAGAGAGAGAATATTATGTGTCACGACGTAGTGGAATCAGGCGCTGCTCAATTTTTGGTAATGTGGAGTTATTGGTATCATCTGAAAGCTGATTTATTTGCATTGCTTCCGATAAATAAATATCCACCTATCTTGCATAAATAAAACTTAAGATATTTGCGATTGAAGTAAGTGAGGTCACCTTGTTTCTGCGGTGAAATTAGCAAGGAAATGGCCGTCAAAGTTTGGTAACTCCAATAGGCAAGAATCCTTGAAGACATAAAAATAACATATTAATTTGTGCCTTTAATCAATATTTTTTCAATAAAATTCACACGGAAATGTGTTTTTATATGGACAGAAAAGAGGTTGAGCCAAAAAATAAAAATTCTAATAAATGTCCAAAGTGTCCAAAAAAAATGCCCGTTTCTCCAATTTCTGTATTTTGACGAGCGCCTGATTTCACAACGATATTATGGAAGTTGTTAGGGGACTGTACAGTCCCCTGGCGATACCCACTGGGCGACTGTACAGTCCCCAAGCGCTGCTTTGTGAATTGGGGGACTGCAAAGAAACGACCTTGGAATCTTGGGATCGAGGTCAACAAGCCATCATCAGACATCAACAACATTTACATTCCCTCCCATGACTCCCATGACAAATTGACAACAATCAACAAGACGTCTGATTTGACTGTTGGCGAAGTTTTTGGCACGATGTTCTGTTTGAAATAGTTAATAAATGAGTATGATAAAGCCACCTACTGTTTCTTTTTTATTTTTTGTGAAAGGTGAATGTCGAAAAGTGTGTTGATCCAGTATAATTGTTTGTTTTTGTAAAGTATTTTACGGCGCTCGCAACTGCATAGGTCATATGAGCGCGCGGGACACACCTAATATTTTCAGTTGGTAGGAAATTTTGAATTTTGCCCGGGTGGCGGCCGAAGCCTACTCTTATCGATTTTAGACCACCAAGGGATCTTTAACATGCGCAACTTGCACACGGGCCCTCCGAGATTTTTCGCCCTTGTCCGAGAAGGCTAGGTGTAGATCTTTCCTACCAGAAGATCAGGGGTGTGGCAGAAAGACAGCAGTAAGGAGGAGCCAAGGAGTAGCAGTAGAAAGGCTGCAGAAAGAGGCAGGAGCCCAGAGGAGGGAGCAAAAGAGGTGAGGGGGTGGGGGCAAAAAGTGGAAATGAAAGCAGACAACAGAACATTGTTAGAGAGCAGGAAAGGAGGTGAAAGGAGATCATTTTTAGAGAAGAAAATTTTTTTGGTCGCTTCCCGGAATCGAACCCGGGACCTTTGAATGAGAGGCCAACACCTTAACCTCTAGGCCACGAGAGCCCCCGATCCAGTATATAATTGACGACGTAGACTACAGTACTGTATTGTAATACTTCTTACAGAACTTACATTGTAGATCTATAATATAGATCCTACTGATATTATCTAGATCTAGATCTTGTTTAGTTAACTAATAGGCACTAAGGTGGGAGAATCTAGATCTAGAGCCAAACACTTTATTTAAGGCGAATTTATCATGTATGTCGACAGTTTTAAAAATAAATCTAGGATCTATCTAGATTCTAGATCTAGTAGTACTTATGACATAGATTGTTGTAGACTACACTACATGGTAGGTCTACACTTCTTCAATAAAAAAAATCAGTCTGTGTTTATAATATCTACGCCTAGATCTAGTTTAGATCTAGATTCTAGATCTTGTTGTAGGCCTCGTATTAGTATTACCAAAGATCCTCTACTTACAAGGTATTGCAATCTTTTTTTGGGCTTTTGTCCCACGCCGTGGCGGGCCCGCTTTGACGATTAGCGCGTGATGGGCTACGTCACTAGGCGACGCGAGGTTAGT